TACAACATAGAATTGCATATTACATATGCAGACTGTAGCAATTCTAGTTATGAACTTGTAAACTGATGCATTTCTAGTTGTATTATAGATATGGGCAGACTACGGTGATTCTAGTTCATGAACTTACAAACTAACACCTTCCTGTTCTATTATAGATACGTGTAGACTGTGGCAGTTCTAGTTAATGAGCTTCACGAGGAACACTAAATTGTGTTATACATGCAGAATTCAAAGTGGTTCTAACTGATAAACATAATAAGGTGTTAATAATGGAATAAGTCCTACATGCAAACTGAGGTATTTTCAGTGGTATAACTGTTGAATGGAGACCTTGATGGTCTTAGTATAGTATTAATGTATTCCTGAGTATTAAAACGATACTAAGGGTGATACTAAATGTACACAAACTTGGGCAGTTCTTATGGTATAATAAATTCTTTGACAGTAAAGTATTCTTTCTATGTTATCATAAGGTATGACAAACGTTTAAGCCCAGTTAATTCAGTCAGGATTAACAAATGTAGGACACATATGCTTGGTAGTCTATATTACCATTTGTACTAAACATTGTGATGGGAGGGGGTGAAAAGGTGAAGTACTTATCCTACATTGTGCACAACTAAGATAATAATTGGTTATTGTAAGTAGTTCCCTGATCTCTGTGAATTTCTTCTGGGGTTTCAAACTGTGCCATCTAGTGCTCTGGAAATGCACCAACTGATGTATTGACCTCTATATAAGCCTCACCCCACCTTGGGAAGTAGTCTATTGTGATGAGTATGTATCCATGACTTCTCTCAATCTTCAGGAGTTGACCAGTGATATTCAGGGTTATCCTGTTCAGAGAGGATTCAACAATTCTTCGTTTGATTTTATCCTGTTTTGGGGGTCTTTCTCTGGCTATGTGCATTCATGTTACATTCCCGTTTTTATACTAGACAGACTTTACCTTTGGAATAAAAAAGTACCCATGCCAGGTCTGAGCTCTTCAGTTGCTCTTATTCAAGCTCCTGAAGTGTTATTTGTGGAATCCATCCACTAGTGGAACCTCCTATTGTATGAATATAACTATGTGGCCATGTGACTGGTTGTTCTCACTGAAAACAGTGAAGGCTGTAATCTCTATATATTATTTACCCAGCCAGCAAAGGACATTGTTGCCATTGTCCTACAAATGTATTGGCACAATTCACCAACAAGTCAATGAGCTATTTTCGTTGCACTGGGTCTAAATTGCATAATCCTAAAACAGTTACGTGAGATGTGATGGTAGCCAAGTACATTGTTGGCTGTGATGACACAACCCTAGCTTAACCACTAAACTCGATTATTTATAATTAGTGTACCAGACCTATATTCAGCCAACCATACCTCTGGATACCTGTTTGCCAACAAAACAACATCAGGACTTCATCCCTGCTCAGACAGATAATTGTCCAAGCTAATACAGCCTTATTTCTGGATAGGAAACAGTTAATATGAAATGTGGATTCTATAGCTCCATTATATGGTACTAATGCAGTAGAGTTTGTCTGGAGTAAAGCACAGGACATCACTTGTGTATACAGATATACTATTATTCCCACTGCCACATTCACTTTGCAATCCACTGTTCCTGGACATGACTAAGCCAACATCACTTAACTCTCCCACAGAACATCAGTTCCCCCATTTCAAAGCAAAACTGATGGATAATTTCTGTATTACGTCCATTGAAAGAATGGCAATACCTGATCCAAGATTGGAGCTGACTACTTTCATTATGGGAGTAATATTTCCTAGGCATAACCAGAGATCTACCTCTGAATTTACATCTATTCGAATGTCACTTGCCAGAATAAACTCAGTTTTCACTGCCTGGAGTGGTAGTCTCACTTGGATGGCTTCATATATCGCAAGGTATATGAATGATCTGTCTACTCTTGCATCAACCAGGAACTAAACTTATTACCCACATAGATACCAAGCTCTACTCAGTTCTAAGACAACTAGGTGGCCTTGTCCACCTTTTCTACTCAGTAAGTGTGGGTGCTCTAGGTTGTCTGATACCTGATGAGCCATTAGTTGGAACTGAAAGCCCTTCCACCTTTGATGCATGGCAACATATGTACAGTTCATGTGATAATGTCCCACAAGCCTTATGACTACCAGCACACTAATTAAATTCCTTTCTGCACATGTTACAAAGTTACATTCAAAATTTAATTAAACCACTTTACAATCAATGTATTTTTATTTCAAACGACACCTCTAAAACAGTAATTAAAACTTCAGTTTGTTGTCACTTGATGTACTCATAGTTAAAAATATCTTAACTATTTCAGCTGAACTGTGTGTAATGTAAACATTTTCCTGCAGATGATCAAACTACGCATACATATATAGCCTGTTTGCCAATAACTTGCAAAACGTTATAAAAATTCTCCCATTTGATATAAGCCATGCTCACAATCAAAAGTAGATGTGGTGTGGCTAAGTTATAGTTTTAACTTGAATGGCATGCTTATAACCAATAGAAAGAGCAGATTTCACACTATAAGGTCTCAAGGTTATCATGGAACTGACCCAATAAATCCTTTTAGAAATGTAGTCAAACTGGTGCTAAGTCTATTGTTGAAGATCATTGTCCCTAGCACCTAGGCTATTTTTTCTCGCCTTATACATATTAGTTTGATAAATGGTTAAATTGCATTTAGGTTTTACTTATATATTTTAGTTAATTATGTGTTATTTGTGTTTTAAATTCACATCTGAAAAGTTTAATGTTTATTTATATACACTCTAAACTCTTCCTTGCTCCATGATGGTTAGATAAGTAAGAGAGTACAAGAAATTTTGCTAGAGGCTAAACCGTCTCTGCTGATGATAACAGTTGTATCACCCATGGTCACCCATTGGCATGTGTTTACATAAGTAATCAAAAATAAAACATTAAAAAATAAACCGTGAAAGATAAAGACACGAAATTACACATATGACTCAAAGAAGATATTTTACGATTATTCTTAATTTTAAACATTTTATTTCACTGTATGTGGATTATAATAGCTATAGGTAGTGATATGGTAAAGAAAATGGAAAGTAAAATATATACATCTAGTTTTAAAAATTTTTATATTCATTTAGGAGGTTCTAGAGACTATGCAAGTAAAATGGGAAAGTTGTAAGATAAAAAAATAGTATTTTTATACTTAACATGAAAATCCACTTGCTGAAGAACTATTCAGAGTCAAAGTGCAAATAACTTCATTAAATAACGAATTTTTATTAGAAATATTAGAAAAATAACAAAAATAAATATTTTATTTTTCTAAAACTACATACTTTTAAGTTGGTTCTTGTCAAACTTCACACAATTTCATCGACTAGTTTTATTTTTGGAACAAAATATGACAAAAGCGATGTTGCTTACTTACAATGTAAGTAGCCAGTATTTCATGGGGCTAGACCCAAACAAAGTAGAAGCTTCACTCCTCCACCTATAGGTGGTGCCTTATAGTATTGTTGGGATGTCTCTATACTAACTTATCCACAAATATGTCTTCCCAATCTGTTGTAGTCATTGCAGGGTAGGCTCTATCATGCAGATAATGCATATGCATAAGTGGTCAGGCCCACCAGAGCATCCTTCTGCCAAACTTTAAATTTGATCCAATGGATTACTCAATTCTCCACTGAGTTGAATTGACAGCACAGCTTGGCCATTACTGTATTTCAGTCTTCTTCTTACACCTCATCCATATGTTCAATGTTATTCTGCACTGATTGTCCAAGCTCAAAATTGGGCATTGAACTGCTTACTCCTGAATCACAACTATTTCAGGTAAATATTCCTTAACTACTCCTTTAAACATTAGGGGTGAAATGTGCTTTGCCTCACTCAGAAGAACATATGCTGTGGGCCAGTACTTCTCCCTTGTGGGTTCTTGGACAATAACTGACTTAGATGCCACTGATGTTACAAATGTTGGGTTGGTAAATGTCTCAGAAATTCTGATACTTAGATGAATAGTTTGCTCCTAGTCAATGATGGCGAAGCAACTCATTTTGCTGCACTGCATGACTCCAGATTTTATTGCGAGCCATGGTTATATTGATAGTATATCTCCTGGCCTTGAGAAACTTACTACTGCCCCATGATTCATGAACTTTACTCCTGAATGTACACTTTCTCACCGGCCAGGGAAACAGTTCTTAGTGGCAGAGGTCGTCCACTAGCAGCACTTCTAGTTCTTTTTGACTGGTCTTGATTGTGGTACTATGGCTGGCAAAAGCCTGAAAGTCCTATAGAGACTGTCCTACATGATCTCATACACATCAGGCATCATTCCACTTCAGCAAACCTCAGGCTTTGCTTCCCATTTGCCCAAATTGATTATCAGGGGCAAGGTTTTGGTTGTACCACACGTCAGCCAATCTTCAGAGATCAATTTCAAGGACCTCTGTGGTGTCAGCAAAAATCCTGTATCAACGAAAGCACTCTCAACACCACTCTCATAAAACCGTTATTTTCGAATGGCCAGCTATCCCACTTGGCTGTGAGTACTTCTACATTTGAGTTGTTAATAATTAGCTGTAACTAGTAATATATTTTGACGGGTGAATAGATAAATAACCTTCTTACATTTTCATGACTGATATTTAAAACACTCTTGTTTTGCATAAATATTACCTTCTGCATAACCACAAGTTTTCTTTCCAACTCTAGAAAATCAAATGAGGTATAATAAACGTTCTATTTAAAGAACTGCTATGGAATCCAGTTATAAGGAATGACTGAAAATATGATAAACTCAGTGTGACCTATTTAAATATTAAATACACTATATATATATATGCAAAATCTGGAGAAAAAGTTTATCACTGTTATAAAAGAAAAAACAGTAACAATTTAATTATTTCCTTACTGTTTGTTTTCAAATAACACTATTAATAATGATATCCATAGCAATGTAAATTGTATTTTAAACAGTATTTTATATAAAGCGTTATTTTTCTAGCAATTCACGGGCAGGCATTGTGATGTTCCAATAGAGTGTTTTAACCACAGCTGTGAAAACGGTGGAACATGTAGACCACTAACAAGTCCAAGCTTTTCAGGTGCAAACTATAGTTGTGACTGTTCTTTAGGCTGGAAAGGAATGCTGTGTGAAATTGGTGAGTTTATCAATCTACCCCAAAAAATGTTTCACGTCATATAAATCAAAGAATATAAAGTGAATGTGATTTTGATAACAAACTAAGAACAGTATTGTCTTAAACTAAGTGTCGGAATCGGAATCATGTGTTTATCTTTGCAAGTAAATTTTCGTAAAAATAATTGAAAAATTATTTGTCTATTCTCTAAACGCATTAAAGATTATGAAAATACAATAATGAGAATGCTTCATAGGTTTGTTAAAAAATATTTTCCTTGAAACAGAAAACGGTGTAAATAGTCTTACAAAATGTTAAGGATTATTTAACTGGTTTACTAAATATTAGTTAGAAAAAGATTACACAGCCAGTTAATTTTATTATTTTTAATTATTATTATTATTAAGACACTAAAGGTATTCTGTGAAAGAGATGGAATACTACTGCAAGATTCACTAATGTTATAAAGTAACATTATTACACAAGAATGAAATATTAGTTTATTACACAGTGTAATCCGATATCAATAGTTCTTCCATATGATGAAGCATTAGTTAAACTATACCATCAGCATATGGTCCATGATTTCATTTTTAATCGGTGGCTTATTTACTTTTCAATATTTATTTTACAATAAATGATTTGACGAATACCTTAAGTTTGGTATACTGTTTTATGTTAAATACATTTAGTTCTCACGATATTTGGTAGTAATTGTTACTTCAACAGCATATAACCAAATTGTTTTTACATAATAAAAAAGACACTTATCATACTGAAAATATTACCTTTTCCTGCTTGTATTTGGTAAGATCTAAAAATTAATGGTATGCAATTAGTATAATCGTATGTTAATACACAATCTGCTTTCAAAGTCCATTATCATTGGCATTTTAGCAACTTTGGAAGACTCGTGTCTTAAGGTTAAATTTCAGTAAGGTTCCAAATTATTGAATGAATTTACCCTTTATATTTTGAAAATTTACTAATCACCTGAATGAAGCATTGTCCTTCCACAGTCGTATCTACTGTTCATAGAGGTGAAACGTTTGATGAAACTAACCACCACCAGTTCTCATTCGTAGGAATTGTAAATTGTTTAGACATACTATGTATAAATAAGTCACAACCTTTTCATCTCCGTCAGGGACAAAAATAATAGGAGGTAATCAATATTACTGTTGGTAGCTGCAACGTTCAAATGTCAGACGTTGTTGCAAACACAATGACATCATCCAGGTACACTAGAG